AGCAGGGGGTGGGTCTTGTTGCATGTGCCCGCCCCCTGGGCTCTTTACTGCCGGAGCTCCACTCCTGTGCGCACCTGCAGGAAATGACCCCTGGGCCTACTCATATATTGGTGGGGGGGATGGTTTAAGACTGAGGGCTGAACCAGCTTTCGGTTTCTTGTTAGGCACATCTGTTGAAAAGCCTGGAGGAAGCTGGATTCTTCACCTAGGTTTGCCGACCTCCAGACGGCCCCTGGAGATACCCCACTATTACAATTGATCTCCAGGTGATCAAGATCGGTTCCCCTGGGGTGTATACGGCTGCTTTGGGGAGTGGACTCTGTAGCAGTACGCCCTGCTGAGGTCCCTCCCCTCCCCAAACCCCACCCTCCCCAGGCTCCACCCCCCCCCAAATCTCCAGGTATTTCCCAACTAGAGATGCCAGCCTCCAGGTGGGACCTGGGGATCTCCCAGACTTACGGCTCATCTCCAGACGACAGGGATCAGTCCCCCTGGAGAAAATGGCTGCTTCGGAAGGCGGGCTTTATGGCCCTGTACCCCACTGAGGTCCCTGTCCTCCCCAGGCTCCACCCCCAAATCCCCAGGAGTTTCCCAACCTGGAGCTGGTAACCATCCCTCCCATCCCCTACCGGTGGCTGGGGAGACGACAACACCTAGCAACCCTGTTCCCAACCCAGAGCTGGCAACCCCATCCCCCCCTGCAGCTGAGGACACACAAAACATTTGTGTTTGTGTGTCTGAAGTCCGTCTGCTGTCCACACCCCTCCACAAACTCTTTATCCTCTCTTGTGAACGAACATGCAGATAGCTGGGCCTGACCTAGCTGGATATTTTGGGTCCTATTATTTTTTTGTTGTGAAAACAAAACCCCTTTAGTGTTTAGTAAATGAGCAGCCTAGACCACGGGCTACATTCAGAACCCGGTGGCCGTGATCTCTGCTTCCAGTTGGCTGACCCCCCCCCCCCCGGACCCTCGCACGTGGGGTGAAGTGCCTCAGTTGCCTTGCGCCCGTCTCCCTTGGTGGCTGCATCGGCTCTCCTGTCTTTAGCGGAATGTCTTTTTTTCCCCTTATATTTTCTGAATCAGGAGTTGGATTAAAATACAAAGTGATAATTTTAAAAAAAAATGCAGTTGTGTTTAATGACGTCAACAAATGCAGTCAGGTTGAATGATGCACCTGTCCGCCTTCTGCTCCAGAACTGAAGAACGGTGTGTACGTGTGTGTCTGTCAGTCTGTCTCCTGCAGCAGAACAGAGCGAGAGTCCAGGAGCACCTGAAAGACGAACAAAATTTGGGGCAGGGGAGGAGCTTTTGCGAGTCACTGCTCCCTTCTTCAGGTGCAGCTGTATCTGAAGAAGTGAGCAAAGACCCACGAGATCTCCTGCCCTGCCACAGATTTGGTTAGTCTTTCGGATGCTCCTGGACTCTCGCTCAGGCCCGTAGCTACAGTGGGGCATTTCGGGGCCTGGCCCCCTGACTTCCTGCAAAATGCCCCCTGATTTCCTGCCAATGCTCCCAGGCCCCCCAACTCTCTGGGCCACCTGGAGGACTCCCCACTGCTGCCCCTTCCCCAAGCACAGCTTTCTTCCCCACGTAGGCAAGCACACTGCGAACGCTGCAAAAGTGAGTTTTTAAATTTTTATTTTTAGTTTATTTTTTAATTTTGTTATGTTAGTGCCCCCCGACTTATTTAAAGCCCCCCCCAAATTACAAAACTCTTGCTCTGTTCTTGCTCTTTTCTGCTGCTACAGAGGTATCGGAGCAATAACTCATGAGAACTCAATCCCCTGCCACAAATTTTGTTTGCCTTTAAGGTGCACCTGGACTCTTGCTCTTTTCTGTGGCTACAGAGGTACCTGAAGAAGTGAGCAGTGACTCATGAAAGCCACACATTTTGTTCGCCTTTAAGGTGCACCTGGACTCTTGCTCTTTTCTATTGCTACAGACAAGACTAACAGGGTCACCCATCTCGATCTGTCTGTCTCCTGGGAACCTTGCCTATTTTCATCAAAGTCACAACTTCCCCCAATTGCTCCTTGCCCATTTCTTGGGGCAGCTGTTGGCAACATGCATAATAGCATGGTTTCAGCCCTGTGTTCATGCCCAGCAACCACTGCATTAAGGGCACAATCAAGCAGAACGGGACGGATCTGTGCAGTTTAGCCCCAAGGTTCGTTTGGGCTGTTCCTTATTTTCTGCTGTATGGCAGCTTCCACTTGGAAGAGAGGGAAATGGCATCTCCCCCGGGCCTTTCATAGGCAGGGTTCTTTGTCTAATTTATTCTGCTTCAGGGAAAGGGCAAAGACACTGGACTGCGGGAAATCCACCAGCCCTCCAGCCCCTTACGATTTTGTCGGGCACTTCTTCCCAGGGTTCTTTTTGCCGCCTTGAGAACAAGAAGCTTGTGTTGTTTTTGAAAGTGAAATCTCTCAAGAGAGCCAGTTTGGTGTAGTGGTTAAGTGTGCTGACTCTAATCTGGGAGAACCGGGTTTGGTTCCCCACTCCTCCACGTGGAGCTGCTGGTGTGACCTTGGGTCACACACAGTTCTTACAGAGCTGTTCTCTCAAGAGCAGTCCTCGAAAGAGCTCTCTCAGCCCTGCCTACCTCACAGGGCGTCTGTTGTGGTGAGAGGAAGGGAAGGAGATTGTAAGCTGCTCTGAGACTCTGAGTGAAGGGCATGGTATAAATCCAACTCCTACTCCTACTCCTTCCCTGCCAGTGTGGTGTAGTGGTTAAGAGCGGCAGACTCTAATCTGGAGAGCTGGGTTTGATTCCCCACTCCTCCTCCGCATGACACCTGCTGGGTGACCTTGGGTCAGTCACTGTTCTCTCAGAGCTCTCTCCGCTCCACCTACTTCGCAAGGTGCCTGTTGTGAGGAGAAGAAGGGAAGCTACTTTGAGACTTCTTAAAGCGGAAGAAACCCTGACCTAAATAGACCAGGCTAGCTCAATCTCATCAGAATATCAGAAGCTAAGAAGGTCAGCCCTGTATAGTCTTTGGATGGGAGACCACCAAGAAAGTCCAGGGTCACAATGCAGATGCAGGCAACGGCAAACCGCCCCCGAACGACTCTTGCCTTGAAAACCCTACAGGGTCACCGTAAACTGTGATTCCAGAGAACTTTCCACCACCAAAGTCGAGAAAAGCGGGGTATGAAAACCTATTCTTCTTCCAGCTGAATTGGGCGTGTCCCGCATGTCTCCGTACGTGCACACGAACACATCTGTAAAAAAGTCCACAAAACAAAATGAAACATATTGAAGCAGATTCACTGGACGTTAACTTTCCCCGTCTCTTTAACGTCTGCCCGTCTATCCATCTGCTTTAAGTGTTCTGTCTGTCCGTCTAGATTTCCTTAATCACGGGCAATAACAATAATTCAGTCGGCCACGGCTGAATGGCCAACAGCAACAGCAACAACAAACGACTCGCTATGATTAACTCGGCATTGGCATGGTGGGATCTGTATCTTTGCACCCGAAGCCCCTCCTGTTGGCCTTCTGCCTGTTACGTAGCCATTCAGCATGGGTGGAGGGAAAGAAAAAAGGGTGACCCTGGATTCTGCCCTCTCGGAACGTCCTCTGGATCGGTCTGTCCAAAAGCATTCACAGTTATTAGCCATCTTGGGGGCCCTGGAAGGGGTTAATGCAGCCCCCTTGCTTCTCCATTGGGTGACGGGAGTGTGTGTGGGGGGGAGCTCTTGTATTTTTCCTCGCAAGGACCCGACCAATCAGTTCCTTTCCCTCGGCTCCTGTTGTGCCCACATTGGCACAGCTGTTTGCCAAGGGGAAACTGCACGGTTCGCTCCCCCCTTCCAGCTTTGACATTTTCCCCCCACCCTCTCTTGCCGATTCTCCCCCTCTCCCCTCTTCTCAAGCGTAAAGAGCAAGGAGGCAGGAGAGGCTGGCCTGTGGGGGGGGGAGGCTTGGGGGGGCCCACGTTTGCCGTGACAGGTGCCACAGCGGAAAGAAAGGCAAAGCTTCCAGCCCTGCCATGGAGAAAGCTGGCTGCAATTCGTCCCATGGCAAAAGGGAGATCCAGCCGCTCCACTACCTGAGGTAAGTCACAGTGTTGCCATGGCTGTGTGGGTCTCAGGTGCGAGGGCTTCCCCCCCCACTCCTGTGAACAGAGGCAGAAGGACGGCAAGCGGACTCCCACCCCCCTGCCTCTTCCAGCTGGGAAGCATTGCAATCTTCGGTGAATCCTGACAACCTCTCGGTCTGATGTGGCGATCAGTCCACGGTTGCTGCGTTTTGGCCAAAGGAAGCCGGTCTGGGGACCAAATCTAGGATAGGTGAAACAGTTATTTTTATTTATTTGTTTACAATATATATATATTTCAAATGCTGTGCTCTTTCCAAAGAGCTCAGGGCGATGTGTGTTGTTTTGTACTCCTCCCTTGGCGTCTTCACCACGACACCCCTATGGAATAGGTTAGGCTTTACGGCAGGGTCAGGATTCACACCTGGGTCTCCCAGATCTTAGTCCAGTGTTCTCAGCCATTACAGCAAGCTGGCTCTTCATACGGACACATTCTACTGGACTTTTGGCTAGGTATGGATCTGGTTCGGGTCATAGGGTGCTGGCCAAAGTAGTCCTAAGCATGTTGCCCAAAGTGACGTCATTCTCCCTAGGCTGTCTGTAACCCGTGTTAACTAGGGACTCATGGATTCACCATAACTTTCAAGCAAGTAACCTCTGCTGGGATACGTGGCCGACACTGGAGCGAAAGGTTATGTCGTGCAGGTCCAGTTGCGCCAGAAAGAGGGTTGAGGCTGCCCAAGGGGTTGGCATTTTTGTTCCCGTTGCTGTTTTTCCTTGAGGCTGGCCGGCGTGTCTCTGCACGCCCTCGGAAAGCCAAAACATGATGGGGGGGGTTGTTGACCCAGGCTGCGAGCAAAACATCAACAGAGAGGACTGCGCCCACATCCCGACGCTACAGGAGAGTTGTGTGAATCGTGACTCAATGGCAGCGTTCAAACGCTGGTCTCCATGGCGACCATAAAGTGGGCCTAATTTGCCAGAGTAATGGAGGCAAGAGAGGACTTTGGGGTGAAGACAGAGTGATTAAGAGATTGGGGGGGCAGGACCTTGTGCTAATTTCCCCCCCCCCCCACACACACACACTGATCCTGTACAGTTTGTGGTCAACGGTTGTGGCCCAGGTAGAGTTTCACTGGTAGGCCCACATTTCCCCTTCCTGACCAGCTGCCAAACAGGAGCATGTAAAACAAGGAGGGTGAGACTGTGTGTCTTGTATATTAATTATTTCTCCACTTTAACTCAGAGGTCTTTTAAAATAAACAAGAAACAGACAGTTTCCAAGCCTGGGACACTCTGCACATGTTCAAAAGTAATGTTGTGCTTACATTGTTTTGGTCAGGGGTTCTACTTGGTCAACGTTTGTTCTGCTCAGGAAAAAGGCACTCTGTACGTGGTCAGAAACCACTGGAGTTAGGCTCTTTTTAAGAATCTAGAATGTGGGGGAGCATGCCTGAGAACCCATGGCACTTCAGTCCTTCAGATAATATCCCGAAATGTGTTCCACTCCGGGACAAGGCACACTCTGTACATGCTCAGGGGTGCCAGAATGTCTGCAAAACCAAAAGTGGGAGCGTTACTGTTGGGTCATTGTGGGGAAGGGAGGGGAGAATTGGGGGGGGGACATGGCCCATAGAATCCTGGCTCCATGTTAGACTCCCCCTCCTCAAGTTCCATTTCTGCACTGTGGTGGTGGTGGGGTTTTTTGGCACTACCTTTCTCTCTTTTAAAAAAATCCAAACAGGCTTCTGCTTAGGCCGTTTCTGTGGCAACAGATACAAAGAACGCGTTAAAATGGAATGACTGCACTTTGAGGTCATTTCTTTGTCGCCTGGGAGGGAGAGAGGGAGAGCGAGAGATGAATCTTGCTCAGTGTCTGTAGTGTGTGTGTGTGTTTTGCAAGCATACAAATGAACTAATATACATTTTACATCCACGCACCCCTGCTTCACATATCTTGGGATGATTTCAGGATCCTTATCTAGCAACACTAAATGGTTTTTTAAAAAGCAGAACAGGTTGCGGGGGAAGTTAACCTTGTCGACCCCCCCCCCTTCCCTAGACAAGGCCTCTTTGTGCTTCTTTAACCACTAAACATCCAAACAGGGTTGATAGAATTGAAATGGGACAAGTCTCAGGAGTCCCCAATCCCCAGTTGTGGAGCAAAGGGAGTCGGGTGATTTGTGAACGGTTGAGGGCAGAAGCAATTTTGTTTTCTACAGCCCCTCCAAGAAACCATTCTGATATCTTCAAATAATTAGGGTTGCCAACTCCTGCTTGGGAACTACCTGGAGATTTGGGGGGGGGAGGGAGCATCGGGAAGGCAGGGTTTGATGAGGGGTGGGACGTCACAGAGCCCACTCTCCAAAGCCAGTTTGGTGTCGTAGTTAAGAGTGGCAGACTCTAATCTGGGAGAACCGGGCTTGACTCCCCACTCCTCCACATGCAGCCAGCTGGGTGACCTTGGGTCAGTCCCAGTTCTCTCAGAGCTGTTCTCTCAAGAGCAGTTCTCTCAGAGGTCTCTCAGCCCCACCTACTTCACAGGCTGTCTGTTGTGGGGAGGGGAAGGGAAAGGAGATTGTAAGCCGCTTTGAAACTCTGAGTGAAGGATGGGGTAAAATTCTTCCTCTTCTTCCTCCTCCTCCTCTTCTTATTTTTCTTCTTCTTCTTCTTCTTCTTCTTCTTCTTCTTCTTCTTCTTCTTCTTCTTCTTCTTCTTCTTCTTCTTCTTCTTCTTCTTCTTCTTCTTCTTCCTCTTCCTCTTCCTCTTCCTCTTCCTCTTCCTCTTCCTCTTCCTCTTCCTCTTCCTCTTCCTCTTCCTCTTCCTCTTCCTCTTCCTCTTCCTCTTCCTCTTCCTCTTCCTCTTCCTCTTCCTCTTCCTCTTCCTCTTCCTCTTCCTCTTCCTCTTCCTCCTCCTCCTCTTCTTTCTTCTTCCTCCTCCTCCTCCTCGCCATTTTCTCCAAATGAATGAATCTCCATCGTCTGGAGATCACTTGTAATTGCAGGTGATCTCCAGGCCCCACCTGGAGGTAGGCAACCCTACATAAATATGCTTAAGGCTCCTGTAAAAATGTCACAATCGATGCAGAATTTGATTGCAGTGGGCTTTGGCCCCAGGATCTGTTTTCTTCACCACAGCCTGTGTTGGAATATGCAAGTGGTGGTGAAAATAGCACCTCTGAGCATGTGCAGAATGCATCCCTCCTCCGGCTAAGGAGCACGGTTTCCCACTCCAGGACAAGGCACACTCTGTACATGCTCAGGGGTGCCAGAATGTCTGCAAAACCAAATGTGGGAGCGTTACTGTTGGGTCATTGTGGGGAAGGGAGGGGAGAATTGGGGGGGGGAACATGGCCCATAGAATCCTGGCTCCATGTTAGACTCCCCCTCCTCAAGTCCGCGGACTCTAATCTGGGAGAATCGGGTTTGATTCCCCACTCCTTCACATGCAGCTGCTGGTGTGACCTTGGGTCAGTCATAAGTTCTTTCAGAGCTGTCCTCTCAAGGGAGGTTCTTGGGAGAGCTCTCTCAGCCCCACCTACCTCACAGGGTGTCTGTTCTGGGGAGGGGAAGGGAAAGGGATTGTAAACCGCTCTGAGACTCCTTTGGGTAGTGAAGGGCGGAGTATAAGTCCAGTCTCCTCCTCCTCTTCCATCTTCTTCTTCATCATCATCTTTGTCTTCTCCTCCTCCTCCTCCTCTGTCCAGCAGCAGCCTAAGATGATGTTTCCTCTGGAAGAGAAGTAGAGGGAACATTCACAGCACTGCTAATGCAATGGCCTCGCTTTGCCAGGCTAATTTAACATCTGTTGTCTTTTTTAAAAAAAACATTTTATTAGGATATAATAAACAAAATCAAACACAAGTCACAAACTTTTATACTTATACATCCTCCCCCCCCCCCGGTGCGGCTTCCCACAGTGCTCCAACCTCCTGCTAATTAGATCTTCTTCAACCCACCCTTTTTTTTCTTTTACACATATCTATAGGTAACTTCTTCCTCCATTTTTCTTTTTATTTCTTAGTCTATTTTTTAATGTCTAACTGTTGTCTTTATTGAGGCCTACATGAAGACAATTAAACTTGCTAACATATTCTAAATCTGCCTTCAATGTTCTTATAATAAAGGTTAGCAGGAAAACCGGCTTTGAGAGAGAGAGAGAGAGAGAGAGCGGTTTCTGAAAGCTGCCATTTTTAGTTGGAATGGTGTTCGTTCATTCATGGTACCAGGTTAGTAAGTCCTTCCTGAGTGGTAGAGTTGCCAACATCCATTTGGGGGCTGGAGTTCTCTCAGACTTAGAGCTCATTTCCAGATGGGGTTGCCAGGTCTGGGTTGGAAAATACCTGGAGACTTTGGGAGTGGATCCATGAGAGGGTGGGGTTTGGAGAGGGGAGGGGCCTCAGCATGGTACAATGCCATAGAGACTCCCCCCCAAAAAAAACATCCTAGAATTCTGGAGCATCCAGGGAAGGAAAAAAAAAAGTACTTCTTCACAAAATATAGAGTTCCTTTTGGAACTCACTGCCTCAGAGAGGAAGAGAGAAGAAAAGATTGGATTTATACCCCGCCCTTCACTCGGAGTCTCAGAGCGGCTTACAAACTCCTTTCCCTTCCCCTCCCCACAACAGACACCCAGTGAGGTAGGTGGGTTGAGACTGCTCTTTTGAGAACTGCTCATGAGAGAACAGCTCCAAGAGAACTATGGCGTGCCCAAGGTCGTCCAGCCAGGTGTAAGTGAAGGAGTGGGGAATCAAACCCAGTTCTCCCAGATTAGAGTCCCCGCCCTTAACCACTACACCAAACTGGCTCTCAGGATGTTAGCTCAGAATACTTTAAAAGGGCATTTGTTGGTCATAGAAAACAGGTCCATCTATGGAACCTTCATGTTATGGTGGATTCACCAGATTAATAGTCAAACCGAAGGTCCAAATAGACAGACAACCGGGTAACAAGCTTAAAGATTTACTCGCCGGATAAATGGTGATCACAGAAACGAGTCTGCAAAGAGAAATCACACC